GCGAGAGAAGCTCGCGGAAATCAATCCAAAACCTGCAAATCCAGTCCCAAATAGAGATTTTTCAAATGGAAACCACTAGATCTGGGTTCTAGGTCCTAAAACAAGTCCAAAGAACCCAAGATCTCCAATTTCTACTCTAGTTTTACTCAAAAACCATCAAAATTCGGTTTGAACCAAAAATGGATTTTGAAATCCGAAAACGTAAGATTCAAGAGAGGTTCTTTCAGTAATCTTACCTCGAATCCTTCTCTTGACGTTGAAAACTTCTTTAAATCTTTGCTTGGTTCAGGATCCGTTTGATTTGGGACAAAAATAAGAGAGAGAGAGAGAGAGAGAGCACGGGAGAGTGAGAGAGAGAGAGGGTGAAGGAGAGAGACGTACGGGAAAGGAAGAGAAAAAGAAAAGAAAAGGAAAAGGAAAAAGAAAAGAAAAGGAAAAAGGAAAGGAAAAGTGCATGTGTATAATATTTTAAAAGAACAGTCCAGAAATGCGTCCATACACACTTCTGGGTTAAAATAAATTACTGAGAATAATTTAAATACCTTAGAATTATTTAAACTCACACGTGTCAGAAACATTTATTAATTAAACTCAATTAATAATCCAGATTAGGCACACTAATAATCTAGTAAACTCACTGCAATCTAATATCATGGATTTGTGATAAGGTAAGTGATTCGTTATAAACTTATAAATTGCTTACTAGAACATGAAACTTTAAATTATAGACTATTCTTTTCATTTAAGGATGTTTGGTTCCGGATGATACATATATTTGGACCATGCACTTTGTTTATTGATGAAGTTTTTATGAAATTATATTCTAGTAGGTCTTTCACTCACTGTTTATTCTGTTTCAATATTTAAATCCCTCTCAGGCAACGCTTGAAGTAGTGCCGAGTATATTGTGACTACAAGTGACATTAGTCGAACTCAAGAAGTGAAGAAGTTGTAATTTACTTCCTTCCTTGCTGCATACTTCTAAGGTGTGTATAAATTATAGTTTGTAACCTTAAATATTCTCGGATTGTGGTTGATGTCTATATTTACTTATATATTGTTTATGTATGCTACAATATGGATTTTCCTGTGGAAAAACCTAATATGATGCTAGATGCTTAGTTTTAAACTTGTTTTATCATGGTATTATAAAATCCACCTCACTTTTCAGAAAATCTAATTTCTTTTAAATCGTGGGATTTGTTTAGAAATTCTTAAATATTTCATCCCTGAAATTGATTTTGGTATTATCCTATGATTAATTATTGGGTAAATTGCTTGAATGGTCTCCAAACTCTTTAAAATGTGACAGTTTAATCCCTAATTTTTTTTAACCAAACGAATCTCAAATTATTTAAAATCG